CGGTAACGGAGAAGCTTCAGGAAAACCAGAAGCTTTCTTTCTGACTTTCACTCCTTCATTCAAAAAGACTAAATGTATTAGAAATTACTTGAAGGTGTTAAGACACTGAATTCTGCCCACATTGGGAAAGATAATGTGACCAAAAAGCATAATAAAACAGAAGAATATAAAAATATTAATTTATTTTAGCTCAATATAACAATCTTCTGTAACCGAACTCTGACTTGTAAATGCAAACAGAACAAACCATAAAACATACAACAGGATTAGCATCCTTCAAAGTGTACAGGAAGCCACTTATCACTGAAATAAAAGGCTCAGACGTGGCAGTGGTGTGCTGGGCCAGAACTCCGTGGAGACAGTGGGGAAATCAGCTTTGTCCTAAAGATGACCAAATACTCTGAAGCCAGAACAACCCCTGACCATGCCTGAATTGCCACAATTAATTATTAAAACTCCTTTTGCATTGCCTGAGTGCCTCTTAGAGACCTTAACACGCAGAGGAGAAGAGACTCCCCTCCCCAAGGCTCCCAGAGCACCTTGACCCCGAGGAGCTGCCAAGCTGTGGCAGACGAGCAAGGGACAAGGTGACCAGGGCAGGCCCATGAGGTGCCTCTAGTCAGGGCATGGGAGGAAGCAGAGGAAAAAAAAAAAAAAAGAAGTCTTTCTTCCTTTGTCTGTGCAAAAAAAAGCAGCGAGGCTTCTTCTGAATGGGTATAACCAACAACGACAAAGTCGAGGCTCTTGCAGCCTGGGTCAAGGGGGGAAGGAGAAAGAAGAGTGCAAGCAGCAGCAGCGTCTGAGCAGAAAGGGACAGGAGTAGGATAAATAGAAAGGGAAGCCACTCGGCTAGGGGAAGAGTTATGGGAGGCCTGAAGACAAAAGAACAAGAAATTTAAACTACAGGCAGCCAAAGGTGTCAGCACAAGGAATGAGAGAGGGAGGTAATAAGGTCATCACGACAGGCAAGAAAGGGGATTTTGACAGCTGCCTTTCACGGGGCTTGAAGTAGGAGGTGGAGGTGTCAGCAGAGATTACAATAAGCAAAACAGGAGGCAACATATAGACCTTGTTTTTTTCTGTTGCAACAGGGACAAAAGGCCAGCCAGAATAAACGTTTTTTAGGAGTAATCATCAGGATTTAAACAGACCTTAAATGCGCAGGTAGCAGAGGTGGTGGTAACGATGAGGAGTTGCACATATAACACTAGCAGAAGAGAGAAGGAGAGCATCATTGTGCCTCCTGAAATTAGGTTTGGGGAGGGGGTTGTGCTTAAGAAACAGTAATAACAAAGATAAGCCCACACCCACAGCAAGCCTGAATAGACCTAGATATCTGGTGATCATGGACTGCCCGTGAAGGTTCCCAGGGCATGCTACAAGAAGCCCATTCACGAACCTTTACACCCATACACGCGGGCTGTCTGCTGCTCTCATTTTGAGAAAAAGCATCAGCAGAAAGTGCCGGAGAACAGCAGAGGAAGGACATTATACAAGAAAGAAAATTCAGGTAAGAGGAAGAACACTTGATGAGAAAAAAAGCAAATCAAGAGGAGAGGAAGCATACTGTGCAACTGAGTGCAGCCTGAGTCCATCAAAACATAATGCTCGCCTACAGCTGGCTGGAGACGGGGCGATAGATGGGCAATCGACCAAAAAAAAGGTACTGCATGAAGAGAACCAGCAGAAGAGGAGACTGGGGGGAGGCAGAGGCAAAAAAAAAAAGAGGCCATACTCCGAAAATACATTTTTTTAAGCAAAGGCATGTCTTACAGTGAGTCTAAGCTACCACAGCGAAGTAACTGCTGGCAGGTCCAAAGCTTAGTTCAGGTTATTTGTCCAGATCATTAGAAACCTCAGTGAGAGAAATTCACAAAGAATGCAGAAAAATGATGTGTTTGAACAAAGTAAGAGGGGAAAGGTGAGGCAGTCATCAGGGTATCAAAAACCAAACGGACTCGCAACAGGACTATTTGTGGGGAGGGAAGAGGGTTTTCTGAGGACAGAAGGAACCGGTGCCTGCTCTGAAGAAAGGCATGCAGACACATAACTCGAGCGTGCAGAAGACAAGCTGTGACAGAAGAAAGCGGAAAAAGCAAGAAATTATTTTCAGCAATGGGTCCCTGGGTGGTCCCGAGATTTCTTCTGCGGAGGCACGTGGCTAACATACATGCCAGGCACGAGCCAGAGCTGGATGCTTTGAAAACACAGTGCTGAGAGAGGAAAATGGCAGCCCGGGGTTAAAGACAGACAGGGCAGAAATGAGGCGAGAAGCAAATTAAGGAGAGCAATGAGGGGAAGGCTGGGGCTGGGAGCAAGTGTCAGGGATCATGACGGACGGGAGGTCACAGAAAGGCCAGGTGAGGACGGGTGGGTGGGAAGGGGATGAGGGGTTTCGAAAGAAAGGTGGTGGTGGTCAGAGAGAGGGAGGTGGGTTGGTGGGAGGTCGGAGAGCAACTGCCTCCCCGTCCCAGAGGGTATGAATGTGTCACATGCTCAGTATTTCATGACCCTGTGTCAAAGGGCAGGATCCTTAATAGCACAAGCATTAAAACGTGTGACAGGTTGAGGTTTTATATGGGTTTTTTTACTCTTCCAGGCCAAAATAATTTTTTTTTTCCATGATTCAATATAAAGCTGCCTTAAAACAAAAAACACAAAACATTTAAACACATTTAAAGCTAATAGATACAGCCCGCTTTAATAGATAAAAGTATCATAGCACTTCGAATGCCTTTAAGTGTTGGTGTGAACAACACTTGACTTTAAACTATCATTATTTTCAACATTTATCATTGTGCTTTCTTTTTTTTACTGCATTTACATTGTATTCCATAAAAAGCATATCACTTGCCCCGAAATTTAGTACCTACGCACCTGGCACGCTTTTCCCAGAAAGGAGATGGCTTGATAAAACTTCCCAGTACCGTGGTAAGATTTGGATTCTGCACACAAGCTCCTAGTTATTTTATTCATAAAGAGAGTGAGAGACACAGGTACGAGGTGGTCCTCTGGCTTAGGGTCAGTGTAGGTGCGGTGCACAGCAGCACAGTGGTGAGGAGGACGCTAAGGAAGCTCAGCTGGCATGTAGGAGAGATTTCAAAGACTTGTAACTTGATTAAGCTGTGGTTAAACTAACTATGGGGATAGAAGGAAGCCTATTAGAAGAAGCTTCAGGAAGATATGGAAAACACCTTAAAATCTGCCTTTTTCTTCACACAGTTTTTGATTTTTAGTGCGGTTTTAAGGTTGAGATTTAACTTTCAAAGCCTTGTCTTTAAACACTGGCTGGTAAAACCCAAGAATTTTAAATTACAAATTCACAGAATGGTTTTATAAATGCTCTTTTGTTGTTTAGTGAAAGGTAACTGCTTAACTGAACACCAAATTTGTCTGGCAATCCCCACGGGCCTTTTTCTCATAGTTGATCCATTTTTTGAGCCTCACCCATCACTTTCCCAAGAACTAGGAGACAGACACTCAATTCTGCAAATAACACCTGAATGAAAATAAAATAACACGTTAGCATTTCTCCCTGACGCACGCTGCTTTGGACAAAAGGGAAGATGTTGATCAGGGACTTCATCATTGTATTTTGCCCTCTCATAGATTTCCATGGACTCATCTTTCCTAACATCATGGCAAGCGGCTCGCAACACTGGAAGAACCGCAGCATCGACAGAAGCCCACTACTGCAAGCACTCACCACTTCCTATCAAAACCGTACACGGGAAGAAGAGCTGTGCCTCCTACTTGAAAACTTTGTTCCCTTAAAAGTATAGATATACATGACATCAAGATGTCAGCTTCATTATTAAGCCTATTTATAGATAAGTGAAATGAAGAGCAGATTGCCTGTGCAGGATTTTCAAGCATGCTGCAGCCCATAACGTCTTGTCTTCGGCTAACCATGACCAGGAACAGCCACCTGCGACCTGGAACACGCCTCTCTGAATTTTCTGCGTTAGCAATTGCAGCAGCAGCGCTGGCGAAGAAGTATCGATTAGAAATCTTGATGGATTATTCCAGTTTTGATCAAGGCAGACAGAGCCACACGGCGAGGTAGCGGCGCTGCTGGGAACCGAACCGATGCTGGCAGGTTCTCCCCTCCTCTGACTCACAGATGACTCTTCCCATCTTCCCAGGTGCCTGGGCAGCTCTCGTGCAGTTTTTCCTGCCATTGAAATTCCCCGGAATAGTCTGCTTATTGAATGGACAGTTTTAAACATCTTTACTAGAAGACCCCTAAAAGCAGCTGTTAGCTTTAAGGAGAAGAACTTCCTGTCTCACACAACTAAACTTTTTTTTTTTTTTTTAAAGCCAGGGTGAATAGTTACAACAAAGGAGAGAACAAAACCTTCTGAACAATAGCGTTCGATTTTTAAAGTGGAAATTAAAATGCTAATTCGAGCACAATGTCTTTCTTTCTATTGTAATTCCACTTACACACAACCCCCCTAAATTATAACTTGTATACAGGGGAGGCATTTATAATTAACTTATTTTCCTGACAGGTTTATTCTTGTATGATATCTAAATATTCACTTAAGACTAATTTCTCTGTGCTGTATGGTACACTACGGTAAATTGATACAGAAGGCTGGGGAGGGTGGGGCTCAAACGAGGCTAATAGTCACATTTTTGTTATGTGGAACAGAGGGAAGAGCTGATCTGGTTCATCATTTCAGCTGGCTTTTGTATTTTTTATTTTTTTTAGGAGAACCATAATTAGCACTTAGAGGAAGACAATTGTATAATGGAGAACACTCATTTCACAGCCTTAT